GACGTCTATAATATAGTAGACGTCCGGTTCCCTCCAGAACGGACGTTCAAAAGGCTGAATCTTCAACTCTCCCGTCAGCCTTTTGAACGTCCGTTAGAGGGGCCGGACGTCTACTATATTATAGACGTCCGGCCCCCTCCAGGACGGACGTCTCCACACTCAATTATTTACATTTATGCCACCGGTCAATTATTTACGTTGGAGTTTTGGTGGACGGACGTCTATGGGGTGACGTTAAAGGTCAATTCTGCACTAGTGTCTGCACAAATAAAAAGAAACAACACAACAAGCAACAAGTATTATTCGTACATATGGATTTAAAACGTTAGACATTTTATTATACAATTTAGCATGGTTCATATACTATAGAGTTTATACTAATTTGTTTATCAAAACGTTTGCATTTAGGATATTTGATTAAACATAGATAGCGTTTAATGCGTTATCCTATACAGTCAATTTTTCTAAAAGCTATTATTTTAGATTTTTTTTGTTAAACTTCTAAATAAAGGGTTTATTAACGATGTTGTCTTAAAACTCTCCATCTTAATGTTCATGAAAACTTGTGATTATTTTCTAATTTCATCTTAAAAACTAATTAAATTTGACAAAACCAAATACAATATATAAAATTCTTTTCGACTATGTTCACCTTCATTTGTAGTGCTTAGCAATAAGGGTTTCCTCTCATGGTAAGCTTTCTCTCATCTCAGCCCTTTATTCAACACTTGAATTTTCCTTTCTTGGAGGGTTTTCGTGACAACTTAGTGCTTAGCAATAAGGGTTTTCTTATGTGGTTCAACACCATTTTGTTTCGCTTAATTAGAAGGCCAAAATTCATGTTCTTTCTTTCCTGCCTTCAATGCTCAGTGCCAAGAGTTATGGCTCAGCTACATCATTGTTGTTTTCCTCCAAAATCACTACAGTACATCAAGAAATCAATAAATTCACTAAATTCCAATTCTCCATGCCTCATGTCGTTACTTTGAGCTAAAAGGGGTTGTTTACTTATAAAATGTTATCAATTAAAGCATGATAAGTATCAAACGTGTAAAATAAGATATTCTAACACCTATTATTATTTTTTTTATCCATTTTTCTATATTTTATAGATTTATATAAGATACTCATACTACTTAGAAGATTCTAAACCTTCGTATTATATTCTTATATTGTTTAAAGATTTTCCATACTTTCATAGAGGTAAATATTAGCTTAAAATATATAGAAAATAAAAAACAAACCATAAACTTATATATTGTCTTTGCAACATACATAAATTTACATTTGATTTACGTTCGTCGCAATTGTCTGAACCTAGACCAAACATAAAAAGTCATAAATATCAAACTTAAAAATCATTTTTTGTGTTAGCTAAAAATAATATATAAATAAAGTAATTTTTAAAATAGATTATTAAAATTTATGCATTTAACCCTTTCAAATTTGTATATATTTATAATAGAAAATTTTAATACCTCTAAAACATTTCTTAAAGATCCCTAAGTGATCTAATCAAAACTAACTGCAAGTAAATACAATTATGTTAAAAACTAGTGTATATATATATATATATAAGTATGTATATATATTTTGTAACATCCTCAAAATATAGCATAATATTATATCATAGATTAATCACATATAATAATATGATAGATCAGTTCATAAGAGTTAGTAAAGTGTTTAACCATTACAGTTATCGAAAAAAAACCATAAAACTAAAAACTTTACAGAATATCATAAGTTTGATACAAAACATAGGAATAAACCGAACGGTGATACAACACACTGTATAAACCGATTGATTTGCAAAAGGAATACTAAATATATTAAACGAACGATCCAATTCAAAATTATACACAACAGATGACCGAACGGTCATAACTTAAGCGACAAGATCTTCGCCTTCCAACACTTGCTCCACCGAACACTCGTCACCTTCTGCTCACATCCACATGATGGTCATCGCAAGGGAAAACAAAATTGAACGGACACGACAAGACAAAACAAGAAAATAAGGTAAGCTATTGTAATTTAATTATAAACACATATATGCATTTCATGCAAGTTCAATATATATGAAATCGAATGGTACATCATACAATAATGAATACAATTCATCACATACAACCAAAACATCATCATTCATATAAATATATATAAATCGAACACTATGACTTGACCATCCGGATTGTATGAATATGTAGCTACAGTCGTCCTTGCACTTGTGGTAGTGTAACAGTTGACACCAATCAAGGTACTACCCAAGGTTAATCCCATATTACCTACCTCGGCACCGCACCTGAGACGGTTTAGGATCGGTCATTCTCACCTGAGTTACTTTTTATTGGACAACGTTAACTACAGAATATGGAATGAAACGAGTTACTAGAATATTCATATGACATTCCCCCCCTCTGCGCCTTTGTTGCCTCTTTTCCCCTATTTGCCCTAGACATTCACTTTCCCTCCGCCTCTTCCTCCTTCCATTTCTTTCCCCTCATCCAGTGACACACACGGTGAACAGCGCGAGTCCGACCTCTCGACAACCCTTACACACACCCACCCCAAAAAAGCGAGCATCCCTCGCCATCAATCGCGCGTTTTCCCATAATGCCCAACAAATAGAAGCCGACAACTGACAACACATACCACTCCCCTTAGCAACCAGACCGACTGCCCTACATACACAGACTGAACACCCTAGCCCCACTTTTTGAGATCAAACCTTTGAACTACGCAGGCCAGTCCGCCCCCTAGTCTACAACCATTCAACCCCAATAGCGGTTTAACCCCCTTAGCTACCTCTCTCTTATTCACTGGACATCTCAAACATCTTTATACATCCAACAAATATTAGTATATACTGAAACCGACGAACTAAGAGGGTCATCGCGAGACTCTCTCCGAATAATTTTTGTTTCCGAACACACTCCTTTAGCATTTAGGTCTGATACATATGCGCATCGTCAGACATAGACCCCCACCACCGCGCGTCCTAAAGAGAGTTTTAATCATGCATTAATAGACAGAACGAACCCCACTTTTTTTCCTTTTTTTTTTGTTTCATGTGGTAATGACCTGCCCGTACGGTAACACATTTTGCCCCTATGACCCTACGGTAACAGAAACCAAATCTTGGAAGACACACAACTGGGTTAAACAAAATAGAGATACGTTTAAACCTTGAGGCCAGGAAACCTAGTACACTATGGTCTCACTTACGGCACCGTGGTTCACCACACGCTCTTCTGTCCACTTCCCAGATCTTAGACCTCTTTAAGCCACACCCCGTCTCTACACCATAGGGAATTTCCAAATCAGTTCACCGGTCTCGCAAACACAGAATTGAATGACATATGCAATCTATACATGTGACACCCATTCATCTCATATTCAGTTCCAACGGTTCTTCTTACACATCAACGTCAAACACAGAAAAAAATATAATTAAATCCACAGTTCCCCCTTACCATGAACCTAAACGCGACACTTCCTCACGCTTCCACACCTTGCACAACTAACCAGTCGACACCCACAAATCCGACAAAAGCAACTACTTCCAATCCCCTTGATCGGTGGCAAACAGGGCACCACCCAGAGGCCACTTAAAAAACAGAAACAGGTTCAGAAAAAAAGATAGATGACAGAAACACACCTGCCCAAGCCTTGAACAGTGATTTGCATGTATCAGAAATTACAGCCAAACCTTAAAAAGGCGAATGAGTGACTCTACCACCTCCCCACACCCCTTCCCACAATAACTAGAACTTGATGCGAAAACGATAGTCCCCCCTTCTTGTCCTACCAAGGACACGTCACGAACACACACACACAGCTAGATGGATTTAAGGAGGAGGAAACTCATAATTCTAGGAAAGAAGAGGTGCATGCCAAAAGTGGATCAAACGTTTGAAAATATTGCTTGATCCACTACAGTAAAAAAAAACCGATCGGCCAACCAGATGAACACACCTGTCTCCACTTTCTGAATTTCTAAACCTTCATACTACAACCTGGATTCCACTAAAACTGAATTTCATGGTCTGACATATAATAATTATATATATATATATATATATTATATATATATATTATATATTATAATTATTAGATTTTGGATCAAATGAGTCTTATAAACAGATAATAAACGACATTCTGATTAACACCCCCCCCCTCGATTCTTTTATATTCATTCTAAGATCTAAGAAATTATTACGTATATTTTAAACAACTAAAGGATTTTATAACGTTGCATTAATCTATATTTAGCAAATATCATTCTTCATTCATAAAATCTAATAATAAAATTTTTTTATATACTAAAAATAATGATACTTTAAAAACCGCGTAAAGAATAGTTTTATATTTCCCATAAGGTTTTTGTGGTTGAGCATACCTCAGTAGGAAAACTAACCAGCAATTTTATGGACTTTTATATAATAGTCACCCCCCCCCCCCCCCCCCCCCCCAACCCCCCCCCCCCCCCCCCCCCCCCCCCCCCCCCCCCCACAATTACTCATCATTGGGCGGAAAAAGTCAATGCAAAAGTGCACCATATTTTTCATAACACTTACCAACTTAATCAAAATTACTTGGACACCAAATAAAAAAGCTATGGAAACAAATTGATTTCAAATTAAGAGAGGTAGGCTAAGGAATCACCAACTTGCAACAAATTTTATTGAATTGCCCTAATCTACAACTGAATCTATTTTATTACTTTGGACAGAAATTTTTCTCCCTTACAAAGCAATTGGCTAGTTAAAGATTTCCTCGAATCCTGAGGAGTTTCACAACCCCCACGTTTACCTCTACCCCCCAAAGCAAACCAACCCATTTCCAGTGCTATTCTCTAACAGAAAAGAGCGACTCTCAGACTTACCCAAACCAGACCCCCCCCCCCCCCCCCCCGGTATAGTGGTAGCAGTATGGCCAGTGACCAACCGCTCAATGGTAACTATAGCTGTAAAGGGGTCAATGGCAGACCCTGTCAGTTCCTCTAACCCTTCAAAGAAATCATCTGATACCACTGTTTCTGTTGAGTCAAATTCATTTGCTTCTTCATCATCTTTCATCAGATCTTCCAACTCCTCTTCTATGCACTCTGACTTTGTACTGTGTTGTGCCACCTCTGATGAGGTCGCTGGAGAAACAGGTTTTGTGGTGGTTGTGTCTCCACCAGTCTGAGGTTTGTAGCGAGTGGAGCCAGCAAGGGAGCTTTTATGAGTAGGAGCAGGGTGGTCGTGTTCACCAGTGTATGTCACTATGAACATTGTTGGGTCCGATTTGTCCTCTCCACCTGTTTTCTGGCTAAACATCCTTTTGAGCTGCTACATCGGTAATATCCCCTGTAAATCACACAACAAACAATGTCTTCGTTGGTTCTTTTAAGTTCTTAACTTTAACCCCTTTTGGCTTTCTTTTAAAAAAAAAAAAAGCAAAATCTAACAACAAAGACTTGGTAAAGTGTAACAAGTCAAAGTCTGGCTTCTTAAAAATTGTACACACAAGTTTCCATTCATATCTAGTGAGATAAAGAAAAATATTGTATGTGAGTTTTGTTTGAGTTTAAAACTTTTTCTTATTTTAGACTAGGAATTAACTACTCCATTAAACTTTTATTGTTAAAAAAGAAGAAATTTTTTTAAGGTAAACCTTGGATTATGGTGACCCTTTGATGGGTTTCTGTCCATATTTCCTCCCTGCCCATATGTCTGAGAGAGATTCTCAGGCTGCCACATCACCAAACCTTCTTAACCTGATCTTCCTGTGGTTGAAAAAAAAAAAAAATGCATTTCAGACAAAGTCATGGAATGAACCACAAAGACATGGTTTTTAAGAGCTAAATAAATTCAAAATCTTTCTGGATTGGAGAATCTAATTCCCATTCCATGAATTATAAAAAGGAAGAAAAAGGGCATATTAACCTTCTTTTCTGTTTGAGGGTGGAGCAGAAACCTGGTTGGGAGGGCGGCGCTTTGTTTCTGCTGGCTACAAGTGAATTTGGACCACTGATGAAATAAGAAAAGGGAGAAAGAGGAGAAGAATCGGTTGGAAGGTGTGAAGCTGTGGTTTGTGAGGAAGAAGAAAGCTTGCAAAGCTAGTAAGGCTCATTCAATGGGAAGGGCTTGCTCCATAGGGGTCTCCAAAGGAGAACAAAACTTCGACCTTCCTTGTACAGCAGGGTTGTAAAACAGAGAAGAAAAGCTGCGGAAAGTAGTAGAAGGTGGGGCAGAGCCCCAAAATCAGAGAGGTGGTGGGAACGGTTGGGTGCGCGGCGGCGGAATGGAGGAAAAGTAGGTGGTGTGCAGATTTTGACTACGGCGTGGAGATCCCAATCTGGTTCCATAACAGTAAAGACAAGGTCTGAAAAAGTCTGGTACTGAGAGAGGACAAAGAAAAAAAAAAAGGCGCTGACTTTTGTTTGAGGGAGAAAAAGATAAGATGCCATAAGTAGGAAAAGACATGTATATATAGATAGTAAGAGCAAAGTGGACATTGAAACAAAAAGGTTCTACTCACAAACAAAAGAAGTCCTTTCTCTTCCAAATTTTAAAAAACATCATTGTCAGGGTTTTTCTGTAATTAGGGGCTTTATATAAGAAAAAAACATATTAATGAAATATGGATTTGTAACAAAGGAAGAAGTGAGTGACATAAATAACAAATTGATGTTTAGGAAGATATTATTACATCATTTTAAAAAAAAAATATTACAGTCAACACAAAATAACGGGTAACTATATATTTAAAAGAGAGGACGATAATAGATGAGGAATTTGGTATCTCTGTCCAAGTATGATGGTTCTCAAGTGCGTTCTGATTTGTGTTTCTTTTTTCTTTCTTCTTGTTTGTTATATATTGTTTATTATGGAACCAGTTTTTTGTTGATTTACTGGGTTGACATTTTAAAATTCAAAGGTAGTGGTGAGACCTTTTAGGTTTGGTGGCTTATGGCAATAGAACACAGTACGCACGCATCTCTTCTCTTTGGGACTTGTGACTGAAAGGTTTAAATTCATATGGAGAACCAAATAAGTAAATAGAATGCTGTTGCCAGCTCACACAGGGACAAAATTTGTAGTAAAAACTCTTAAGAGAAAAGTGAAAACAAAACAAATAGAATGAAAAGGAAGAGAAACAAAAATCATACTATTGAAGGGAAGGATTTTAATTAAAAATTATTCAAAATGTATTTTTTTTACATATGACTAATTTTTTAATCGTTTTAAGAATACTGATTAACATTTATCTTATTTCAGACAAAAGACAAGAAAATAATTTTTATAAATAACTATTTAAAAAGTTAATTAAATATAACATTATACAGGTATTTTTTATAACAATAAGATGTACCATGTCAATGTTAGGAAGGGAGGAAAATGAATGCAACCAATATTTGGGAACATCTTATCTATGATGGTTTCGTACAACATTATATAACATGGATATGGCACGACGAATTAATAGACTTTGCAATGTCTCTCCAACTAAAATGTATTCGATTCCACCATTAGAAAGATCAACCAGAAGAAGACAACCTTAGACGGACATGATTCGCGATTGTTGGCATAGAAGCTTTCCCAAGCGCATGTATATGAAACGATGTCCACTAATGCAGAGACTTCTTTATATGTGGGTTCAACTAAATTCACACGGTTGGCAACGGTTGTTACAATCATGAAAATTTAAAGGCGACCAATGGATGGACTGATAAGAGTTTTACAGAATTGTTGTCGCTATTGAATGAAATGCTGCCACATGGAAATACATTACATACTCGTAATTGGGATGCAAAAAAAATGCTTTGTCCGATGGGTGTAGTATGTAAATGGATACATGCATGTCTGAATGATTGCATATTATATAGGAATGAGTATGAAGTTTTGACAAACTGTCCAAAATGTGGGTTAAACATGATCAAGTCTAAAAACACAGTGATGAAGATAGTGGTTACACAGAAAAAAGTGGTTCTTCTTTGAAAGTAGTTTGATACCTTCTACTCATGGCCAAACTTAAGCGTTTGTTCGCGAATTCGAAAGACGCTAAAAACCTAAGATTGCATGCAGATGAGAGAACCATTGATGGACTGCTTCGGCATCCATTTGATTCAAAGGAATGGAAAAATATTGAACAAGAATTCCCCCAATTTGGTCAAGAATGTAGAAATCTTAGGTTTGGTTTAGCTATGATGGAATGAACCCATTTGGTAATTTAAGTTTTAATCACAGCTGTTAGCCCGTTATACTGATAATTTACAATTTATCTCCTAGGTTGTGCATGAAAAGAAAGTACATGATGGTGTGAATGTTGACATAGATGTTTATCTTAGGCTCCTAGTTGAAGACTTGAAGTTGTTGTGGGTTGGTGGGAGTGAAATATTTGATGCCTTTGCTTCTGAAACTTTCATGATGAATGTCATGTTATTTTGCACCATTCATGACTTCCCAGCTACGGTAATTGGTCGGGTTACAGTGTTGAAGGTCATAAAGCATGTCCTATAGTGTTAGAAAACACTACGCTCAGCAATTTTAAAACAGGGAAGGAAGACAATGTTATGTGTCATAGAAGATTTTTACAACCTAAGCATCCAATCGAGGTTAAAAAGACATTCAATGGACAACAAGAGAAAGATGATGCACCAATTCCACTTACTAGCCTTGAAGTCTGTTAAAAGTTAATAAAGTGCATCATGTATTTGGGAAAACATCCAAGAAGTCATCTGTAACGACCCCTTGGAAGAAGAAATCAATATTGTTTGATCTTCCATATTGGTGAAAGTTATATGTTAGACATTGCATAAATGTATAATGCAGTAGAGAAGAATGTGTGTGAGAGATTGATTGGTTCACTATCAACATTCAAGGCAAAAACAAAGATGGAACGTGAAGTGAATGCTCGTTTGCATTTTGGTTAACATGAAGATTCCGAGAAGAGTGGTCGCACCCGAGATGATAAAATATGATTTGTCCCTGTATGTTACGCACTGTCCGGCCAATAGAAGATAAGTTTTTGCCTTTGTTTTCCAGAGTTCAAAGGCACCACCCGGATACTCTCACATACCACGCTCTTCGGTTCCCGGCACCCGACTTAGGCTGTGACTTGAAAGTTCACGCTTGTCACGTATTTACGGCAACCAATTGTTACCCAGTCCGGCAATCGTGGACTTTCGTGCCCAACCCACCCCTTTACACGGCGGACCCTCACTCGATTGGCCTCCTTTTCCTTCTCCGAGCTCATTGTCGTACAGTAACGCTCCTACCAAGTGCGCTGCCCTTCAAGGCGCCCTTTATTATCATTTTGTGTCGCTCACCGAAATTTCTTTTCCCTCCATCATCTTGCTTTGACCTCGCCATCCTGGCTGTCATTCTTGCTCCTGCCCCCCTCTTGAGT